AGTAGAGTCACATGTCAAGATTATATCCCTTTTGTAAGAAGTGTTACATTTAAATCAAAGGAAAAGGGGGTTAATTAGTTATAAATTGCAAGTTTAACATAGCATAATATTTGATAGTTATGGGAGTTGAATCCACTAATTATTAACTACATAAATGTAAAGTTATAATTAAGAGCATCTCCACTAGGAGATGCTTACGGAGGTGTTTCAATGAAGTTTCAGATGTTTGAAGCAACTTTCTTGTTGGAGCAATTCCAGATGAAAGTTACTCAATTTTTTTTCTTCAATCCCTTCAATAAATAATTGTTCTTTACCATTCAAAAACAATATTTTAAACCTAGTGAGAGTCAAGCAACTGTACATAATTAAGTCAAAGTTAAAAAATATAAAATTGAGTTTCTTGAAGTTTCTTATAATGTATTCCATTAGAATAAAATTGGGTATGAGTTACAATTTTCCGCTATAACAGCTATCATTTCCCACTTGGTTTGTACTCTTTCAACATGTTCCTAGTTGATTCTTCCTTCCATGACATACAAACAAAATATTACGTACTTACACATATAATATGCATAAAAAAAAAACAATTTTATTTGGCGTTAATTTTAAATAAAGCAATGTGTATCATCTATTTGCAGTTGTGACAATAATGTTGTACAAATTTGATGTCCTACACATATCACCTCTTACACAACTAGTAGGCTCAAATCTGTGACCAAATCTTATCAACATTTATATGACTCAACTTTTGATGTCGTATGGCCGTGAGTCTCATACCACAATATTTTAGTGTTTATAAAATTACAACATTCCACAAATAAAAGAAAGAATCGTGTATGGACACAACTTCTATTTTCTTATTTTCATTTTTCAGTGCATGACAATTTGGATAATGGAAAATTCTTTATTATCCGTTCAAAGTATTTCAAACAAAAATATAGTCATCCTTATTGATTTTTTAAATATGACTAAATTTAAAAACATTCATATTTTTTGTATAAATAAAAATATATATGCATATATGTGTGAAACAGTGGGCGAAGCTAGGCCCACCATAACATATGACAATGGATGAAATGAAAAGAATAAAAAAGAAAAAGAAAAAGAAACAGAAACTGTGATACTCTACTCCTCTTGGCCTTTTCTGTCGACAAGTAAGACAGGCTAGCTTGGATGCATTTACAGTTGTGTTGTGAATAAAGTTCTGTTCTGCAAGACACAAAATTAATGAACAAGAGAATGAATGTTCTGGATTATATATGCACACACCAAAAGTAAAATAAACTATAAATAAATAAATTAATTCAACTCCAGCTAGAATTTCAGAGAAAATGTTGAGAAAATATATGTTACTTAATTTTGAATTTTAAATGTAATTATAACCAAAGTAAAATTTGAATTTTCCAAATTTTTTATACACCTACAAAGTTTATTAGAATTATCGGGAGATATATACATTGAAGCATTCACTTCTATCTATAATAGTGTCTATGGTAATAAAATTCATTTTAGATTTCTTTTTTTTTGTGACTTTTAATGTTACTTAAAATTAATTTTTTTATTTTATTCTCCGATAGATGAATTTAACTTAGTTCTTAGTTACTTATAATAAGTTATCCCACTGTTTTTTATTTTTACTTAAAATTATTTTGTTAAAAATTAAAATACTCTTGTTATTATTAAGAACTTGTTCTTAAAAGTTATTGGATAAGAATGATTCTTATTCTATGTTAGAATACTCCAATAATAAAATTTGTACGAAATCATGTTTCTGTGTGAGATTATATTCAATAATAATTCTTAACTGATTCTTGTAAGGAGTAAATTTTTTAAAGAGATGGGAACAAAAGTTTTGAGTATTAACTAAGGAAGCCAATTTAAAACAACAAAACATCTCCATTTCATAAGCAAAAGATATGAAAAATAAAGACCACAAATGGTACAACACTAATTCCTACCGAACTAGGAGGACTAGATCCTGTAATTTCGTTATAGATCTTTGTTAGTGTCTCATCTTAAACACTATTATTTTGTACAATTAATTAAACATCAAAAGCACTTATGCTTGCGTGTAGTAGTTCATTTTTCTTGTTTGTCATTAATCCCCATGTTCACGTCCAACAAAAAAGGAAAAACACTAATCACCATGTTTTTATATTATTGGATATTGATGTACAGTTGAATTCAAGACAAGTCCTCATTGTCCAATACTTTCAATCTTTGAATCATATTCTCAATGTATGGTCAAATACGATTCATGACAAAAAAATTAAGGTCAAACATCATTGTCTTTGGTCGATCCAATTAAATGTATCAGATCTTGGGGACATCTATTAATGTTTGAGCTAAAGATCAATCCCACTTTTCTTTCTTTCCTTGCCATCCGCAAATATAATTTATTTCACTTTTTGTTTTGGAATTTGGATCACAGGTTGGAGAAAAGTGGTTCAAATATATTCGGTTTGAATGTTGCAGTACATCATAATTTAAGTTAATCTGCTGGAGTAAACACTTTTAGATATAGATCATGAATATTTATTTGTGAGTTTAATTTTGATGCTTATATTATTAATTAATTAAACATTATTTTAGATATAATTTTTTTGAAATAATTATTATATCAAAATTTATAAAAAAAAATTTATATTATAATTCAAACTCTATTCATAAGTTTGAAAGAAGTTCTTTATTCATTGTATCCCACAGCACTATAATAATTGTATCTTTAAAAAAATTTGGTAAGATAAAAGATATTATATACATTATGAGAAGCAAAACATATATGTATTAAAAGAAGAATAGATAGAAATGAACATAAACTTAATTGCTCTTAACATCGACCACTTTCATTAAAAATTGAAAAAACATTCTAATAATTACCATAATTACAGTTACTCAACTAACAGCCACGATGATCAGTAAAAAGTAAGTGGTCTAAATCTAATGATCCTCTCTTTGCCCCCAAGCAAGCAGCACTAGCAGAGGGGATTATTGCCTATTGGTACCAAAAGCCTACCTCTAATATCATTTGCCGCACTCTCTCACCAATCTTCGACATGACACACTTCAAATACTAACACGTCACGAATTAAAAAATAATAAATTTTTGTATAAGTTACAGCTGTGAATTTGGGTTTAGGGTTCAGACTCAGAGGGTCTATTTGAGCTGACCAACTATGAACAACACACTTCTAGGTTGAGTAGGACTTGACTAATTAAATGACAGATTGAAATTTCTGACTTTGGATACCCTGCTTGTTAAAGGGCTCAATTTATGAGTTCATCATCTTTTAAAATAAAAATTAAAAATTATCACAATAAATTAATTTATATAACAAGTTAATAGAATTTTTTTAATTGTTATAAATTTAAAAAAAAATTATCTTATTTTTTACATTTATTTTGATCATTTATTGTTTAAACTGTATATTTTAATATTTTATCTTCTAAAATTATATTAATTTAGTCTTTTTCATTTTTTGACTTATTTAAAAATTAAAATTTGTCTCATAAGATTCACTTACATAAAAACTATTAAATGTAATTAAATTTTTCAAATATGTTATAAATATGATAAAATTTTTAAAATTTTATTTTATATTATTTTTTAGTTTTTCATAAGATATATTTTTTACACAATTTTTATTATATTTATAATCTTTTTAAATTTAAACATCAATTATATTTTATAATTTTCGTATAGATGAATTTAATGTTACAAGTTTCAAGTTTTGAATTGATGCCATAAAATTAAAATTAATCATTGTTTCAAAAGGACTAAATTGATTCAAACATAAAAGATAAACAATCAAAATGAATAATGGATAAAAATAAAAATAAATTTAAAAATAAGATAAAAGATTAAAATTATAATTTAAATTAAAATAAAAATATAATTTGTTATTTATACTATAAAATAATAAAATATAATACATAGATATAAAAATAGAATAATATATTCATTGTAATAAATAATTGTTATAAACTAAAAATAAAACTTAACTGTGGAAAAGAAAGTTAATCTTAAATGTAGAAATTAACAATAATGTAATATTAATTTTTATTTATGATTTATTATTCATATCTCATTTGAAATATTTTAAATAATTAATTATAAAGAACAAAGAAAAAAAAATAGATGAAGATGTGACCCTAGAGTCTTTATTTTTAATTTTTTTATTTCTTATAAATAGAGAACTAAAACGTTTTAAGTATAGTAAAAATATAAAAAATATTGATGATTTAATTTTTTGTATTATAAATTTATTTATTTAATTATATTGTTAATAATGTAATATGTATATTAATTGTTGTTATATTATATCGATAAATAAATTAATTTATTAAATGTAAAAAACTTTTTTATAAACTTAAGTTTAGTCTTCTTAACCAAATAAACTTTTCTTAAAAACCTAAATCTGACTTTTTAAATAGGTCATTAGACCAAATATTATATAGGTATAGGTCATTATTTAAAGTTTGAACTATTTCCTTCCTTAATCATGATGAAATTATTGGTACACTCCTAAGATAATTTTTGAATAAACCCATATTTTAGACCTTAAACTCATTTTAGTCCTTAAATTGTGAGACATTGTCTAATAAATTATTGAAATTGAAATTTATTATTAATTGCATTAATCTCTACTGTTAATAATAATTTTTATTTCGGACATTTTATGTAGTTTTAAAATTAATAATTAAAAATTAATATATATTCATTAATCATGATTTTTATTGATCCAAAATTATTTTAATATTAATAGAAATCAATCTTAAATCAATCCCAAGAATTTCAGGTCGATTAGTGCTTGTTAGAGATTATAATGATTTAAGTTATAAAGACTATTTAAAAATTTTCTAATTTCAGATAGTACAATCTCACAAATTCAGAAACAAATGGATGTTCATCCAATAAATTATATTTAATCATTAGTTAGTTTTTCTTTGATTCCAGTACATCATTTTTCAATTAAAGAAACAAGAAAGACGCAGACAAATGAAACAATGGCGATTTGCATCAGCATTAGATTCACCTCACAAAGTCATGACGAAGAACTACATCAATACCCACTTGATATAACATGAATATATATGTATACAGCATTGAATGAATCGCAATTAACAAAGTGACGACGAATGATGTTGATTTCATCGGAGGGTGACCACATGAGAGAAACAATTAAAGTCAGTTACTAAGTAGTGGTGTCAGCGATAGCATAGCACAACATGTGAATCAACATGCACAAGAGTAGAACTCGACCAACTCATCCATGGATCCCAACTGTGTCTCTTCGCCCTCAAGCATCCACAACAAGTGCTCGAACAGCACTACCTCGCACGAAACCACCACCCCATCGTCGCAGCCACTGGACCTGTCCACAAGCTCCTGAAAGACAGGGTGGTCGATCACTTCGGAGTTTACGAGGTAGCGCCTCCTAGACTTGCCGACATAGACAGCATGAAGATCGTTTTCGTGTTCCTTGGAAGAAGAGGATGTTGCGGGGTTTTCCTTGTTGGAAGAGACACTGCGGCTGAGTTTGGTCAATGAGGGCCATCTCTTGATAGCGGACTTGAGCTTTGTGAGTTTTCCCACTTTCGCCATCTTTGGAAGGTGTTTGATGAATGCCTCAATGAGTTTTAGGAGAAGAGTTGGTGTGATGACTGATGATGGGAAGGTGTGAAGGAAGGTTCGGTTATAAAGGGGAGTTGAGGGTAGTGAATGATGGGATTGGGATGAGAATGGCTTCAACACGTGCATGGCCCACTGTTTATGACACAGCTAAGAATGAGATATTTGGAAAACCAGTTGCCCTTTTCTTTGGCTTTTAGTGAGGGTTTTGGGATTGCCAATAGCTTTACAAAAAGACAACTTCCTTTGCCTCTTGCGCTTTTACATGCATGCCCTCTTTTGCTCCGGACCATCACATTTCACACTTTTCCTTTGCTTGCAGTTTTATTTTAGAAACAAACATGTTATTGGTATGAGTGGAACCGTGTTAGAATCACTTGAATAAGGTTTCCAAATCTTGTGAAACCAAAAAAAAATGTGATTGAGAAATAAGATCCATTAAATATATAATTAGTTAAGTTTTTTTTTTAATGAATATTAACATATATTCTACACACCAATGCACTAATAACAAATTATTTTTATTATCAATTAATAAGAAATTATTATATATAGTAAAATTGTCATTTTTATAATAATTATTTTTTATGATAAATAAAGATATTTTTAGTTAAAAATTAAAGACTAATCTTTCGAAGTATTGAAATTCTTTTAAAAAGTTCACTTTTCCTGATTAATAATTTTTCATACATATCAATCAAGAATTGAATTTCTGATCACATGCGAAAAGGATAAAGTTATCTGCACCATAACAAATCTGATTGGTTTGTAATAATTTTTTTAACTCATGTCAGAAATTATTTCTAATTAGGGGATAATGTAAAAAATTTACCTTAATAATGCATAGCTATTAAAATCTTTGTTTTCTAGTATCAAAATTGCCTGAAATTTTATTACGATTGTGTTAAAGTTACACCGTTTCAATCTGAAATATATTTTATATTAATTAGTAACTGCTGAATGTTGGTTGTAAAAAAGCTGCTGTCATGTATCATGTTTTATTCACGGATTTGGGGGGTTACAAGTTCAGTTGGAAATGGGTGTGTGCAAGAGAAGTAAACTTCCAACTCTAAGTGACATTCAAAGAGTCTTAAGAATTAAGAATAGAATATTATGAATTGAACTAACTAATACATAGCTTAAAAATCATTTTTATCAAGAAAGTTGTTGCTTCTTTTTCCAACAAAAATTTTATGTTAGATTTAACAATTTCAATTCAGTATAGAAGTACCGTCCAGACTCCAGAGCCATGCAATCAAGTATCAACCACCATTTGTTGTAAAGCAGGCTAGAAAGTAGTAGCACTAACCTTACAATATCATAGGAATCTTTCTTATTATATTACAAAATGAAAAAAGATAATAATGAAGATATTTGTAGGATATAAAAAAATATTTTAGGTTGTTGGACCAGGTTTTTTTATTTTGTTCCTGTTCTAAAAGTCTTGGAAGTATATATTATAACAACACAAGCTTTCGTTATTATGATAAAAAGGAATAAAACAGACGAGGAACAAAAAATGAGTGTGATTACGTATTGGATTCGAAATGAAATTAGGTATGTATGTTGGTTTTCTTGTTTTTGTTTGCCCATAGCATGCATCATAAAGAGCAACAAATTAAGGTGTTGGTTGGTTAGCAAGCCAGCAAGGATAGCATCAGTGAAATGCACTCAAACTGGGCAAATTCATCTATCTTCACAAATTACAAAGTGTTGGTGCCCACATCCTTGTCCTTTTTATGTATAGCTTTCTTTGGTACAGAGGTACCATTAGCAAGGTTCTAAAGGCATATGGGGCCTAAGAACCTCTTCTAACATACCACTAGAAACTCCAATTATTGACTTTGTCAATTTCTTCAAAATTTCAATTCCAAGGACAATTAATGAAATTTCTTAGCACTGCCATATTTCTCTTGAATTTATGTGAGACCACTGTAATTCAACTTCTACCATGTCTATAATTGATAATAGTAATAATGTGTATAAATATTTAGTACATCCCTTATTCATGAAAACAATGAAACACTTGCATATGCAGAGTTTCTGAAAGGGAAACATAAATTAGGATGTATCATGGGTCATATTTGTGAGTCCTGTTTGTGGTCCAACAAATGTGTGAGTCATGGATCACAAGAGCCTCAGCAGAAGCCAAATTCATGTATGTTTCACATACTAGACAGTGGTCCAATAGTTCCTATTCCCACTGATTAAGCCGGCGTTTACTGTTGCTGACACCACCTTCAATGCAAGTCTAGCCTTTCATTTGATGTTTTATTTGAATGCACACCATAGATTTTCTGTTTTTACAAAAGGTAATGATTGTACCAGAAAGCTTAAAATGTTCCATGTTAATTATTAGAGTCAATTTGTTTTTATCATAACATCCTTCAATTTCTCCTTAGCTGGACATAGCCTTCTCTGATTGTTATTCGTTAGGCCAAACAGCTATATATTATATCATCAAGGTCACAAAAATTCATTATTGACAAAAGTTTGAAATTCAGATAGATACAAACGGTGAAATACTGAAATTTTTAGTTATAGTTTGATCCTTGAAGGTTACTAGATACATTTATGAGAAACTAAAGAGAAGGGATTGCAGAATGTGTCATTTGTATTTGTCATCGATGACTAATCTATTGAGGTATTATAATACATTTAAGGAATTCACTTTTCTTTATAGATGTTTTTCTATACACATTTAACTAAGAATCAAATTTCCGACCACATTTAATTGACAATATTATCTATTGACCACGTTGATGTGTCGTGTATTTTGGCATGGATAAATGTGTTTAATTTTTTCTTCTTCTCACTATTGTATTATAGATCTGCGAAAAATATTTTGGCTCCTAACAATGCTGTTTGCTATAAATCATATATCCTAGAGATCTTATAAGATAATATGTTAGATTATATAATAGCTATGTTGGTGTTTATGCAAAATTAGTCCCCTTCCGGCCTCCCCTAATATGATGGTTTAATAAATAAAATGGTCCCAAATCTTTTGAACAGAATATTTCTTAACTGATCATGTGCTTCAGAAGACTAGGATGGTTTCCAAGACAAGATTAGTTTTAGGGGTCTGGACCAGGACCATCATGTACAATAAGGAATGCATTAAATTTGAAGATCTCATTTGGATTTGCTAATTCTAAATCATGTGCCACCAAATTATGTAACATACAAAATGTCAAAATCATTGTCAGTTCAACCAGAATTGGATAGAGAGCGCTAAACAACTTAATCAAACAGACAGAGCACAAATGCTGTTTGAGAACTAATTAGCAGACATATATCAAACACTTAGGTAGTGATTTTGTTTTTACATGTAGCATGACAAAAGTTATGAGGCTTAATCAGTGTTTGTATTCATGTATATACACCGAATCCCCTTTACATTACTTCCCCTGCATGGTGGGGAACCTCCTTAAAGAAAATTCTTGACACCTTAAAACTAGTTGAATAATTGTAACCGGGTGTTTGCTGTTAGGGTTTGTAAAGTAATGCTGACAACCTTTAGATGTCCTTGGAACCCTTCCTGAAAGTAGTGGAGGTGTTTCTTATGAGAAATTATTAGATATTTCAGAACTATTAAATGTTTATGATGATTACTAATAATCACTAAGTCTATATGACATGTATTTTAAGTTTTCAATTTATGACAAAAATTTAATGCCACTTAATTACATGTTATATTGAGATTAGTTAGGGATCATGTTGTCTAAGATAATTTAATAACTTTTTGTTTCCCATCCCATTCTACCACTTTTTGTCAGAAAAAAATAAAAACAAAAATAATATACCTACTGCAACAAAAAGACAAGCATATTCAGTTACCTTTCTCTAAATTAGTGGGAAAAGTCTTGAAAACTTATTGTTCCCATTGCATTGTTTGAACCAGGTGTCATTGTTTTTATCTTCAATATAGGTGTTCATCGATTTATTTATTTTTATTACAACACCTTATATATGCATTTATCAACTTAACTTGTTGATGTAGTAGTTTGACATTATGCACTTAGGTGTTGTAGGAACAATCTATTTAGTAGAAGATCCAATTCTCATAATGTGTGGAGATTCTTTAGATTAGCAACGGTCGCAGTACTATAAACATAATTAATTTATTATCTGGTTAGAGAGGATATCTATGTCAAGGAAAAAAAGAAAAAAGAAAAAAAACCTTTATGCATTTCTTATTTGTTCCTAATAGATTTGCACATATTAGTTGATAGGTAAGCTTCATTCTTAGCTATTGTGATTTTTGCCTTAGGTTATTGAATTTATTCCGTGACATATCTACCTTAACACCTTTTTTTTAGCTTTGTTTTTTTCATAATACATGCACACACTTTATTCAATTTTAAGACACTTGTAAACATATAGCTGAAAATGAAACGCGTGCATTGTATGCTAATTGTGAAAATTAATCCTTCGATTTATATTTTATATGCTGATTGTGAGATAACCAAACAAAAAGAAGTATTGATTACATGTATATATGTAGGTATGCTAGTTATAAACCATGTGCCATGAAAATAGAATTATATAAAGGTCATGTTAGCTCAACTGATTATTGATTAGAGCATATAATAAGTAGCTTAGCATGTTAATTAAGCAGAGCATATATGCTGTTTGTGAACTGATTAGTAGACAAAACATTGATCAAACACTTACTGGGATAGTGATTCTGTTGAATATATTTTAGGGGAAAATCTTCCACCCTGCTGATCATGTCCATACAGTCAACAACAGGCATGCATCTTGGAGATTTGTTTATATATATATATATATATGGTTAATCTTTGTAATGTGATTAAAACGCTTGTTGCATGTTTTTATTTTCTGTAAACTGATCTTTTGTTTGAATATGCATCAGTGAACAATTAATGAAGAGTCAAATAAATAATAGAGTGAAGTGCAACGGATGGAATGAAATTATAAAAAATAAAAAAAAATAAATGTTTTATGTTGGAATAAAGCAAAATTTTCATTCCATGATTTAGCACGTAAATGGAACAAAATGGGTTATGATTTTATTATTTGTATC